TGATTCTGCACCTCATTGAAGATATTTTATATTTAGTATATTCTGCTAGCTTCTGAGTCGACGGCTTACCTGACAACTACACTGTATGTGTGACTGGACTTTGGAGTTTGGACCGATTTGCTTGAATTTTGATGAAGGCAGATGAATTCGAAATAAATACAATATTTGAAACAAATACGACGTGCGACTTTGTTACAATCTTGTAGAAATACTATATATTTCAATATATACACATATTGTATATACAATCGTGAAAGCTCAATATTCATTGTGGCAATAAATACCGACAATATTTAAAAAGAAACCCCTCCAAACAAAAATATCATCTATTTTGCAACTTGAAGATGAGTTTTTCTTATTTGTTTAGAAAAAACAAAATGTATAACTGCCTTCATTGATCATATTTATTTTATTTTAACCGAAAACAAAAACATTTATTAGAACACGCGGTATATAGAAAAACTCTCGGAGAATTCACTATTCAGGGGGGCAAATATATCGGATGACTTATTTTCGTGTCATCAATTCGTCTCACGCCCACCAAAGACCAATAGAAAACTTGTAGTGAAGATTTTGCGGATAAATGGTCCTACAAATTTGAAATTTCCACTCGTCTGACCCTACGGCCTACGTCATGCAATAATGACTACATATTCATGTGCGGAAACTCCGGATTTTTTTTTTGATACAGTAAATAGATGTCAATAGGTGCAGTATACGCTGAACAAGCTGATTGCGATACAGGAAGTAGCACCAACGGATGACGACGATTGATATATCCTTTCAAAGATGAAGAAACTCAAAATGGGTATATATACACACGATTTAGATAGCCATATTCTCACAAGTTCAATATAACCATCGAGACCAGAACAATAATATAATATAGAGCATCATGCCACATCCAGTTAGAATCCCCTTGCGGCGACTACCACATATAATTCCTTGTGAGAACACTTCTCAAAACCGATTGTCAGTGATTTCTCAAGAGGAAGATGAAAGTCATAGATTCTCAGTAAGGCGTTGTTCTGATTTCACAACTCAAAGAAGTCAGACGACCTTGCCCTGTGGGCATGAGGTAATAGCAACTACGAATCAATATACTAACGAGACCAGATTTGACAGACCTGAAGAGGATTGGAAAATAATGGGAGAGAACTACATACCCGTTGGCTTGACTGCCGGGGCCACTGGAGCTATTCTCACTGGAGCCGCTGTGCCTGCGATTGTAGGTGTCGGCGCTTGTTGCACTCTTTCGATTGTAATGGCCGGTGGGGGGATAGCTTTATTGGGTGGGTGTGCACTGGGCAGCGTGGTCGTATCTGGCAAGATAATCTACGATTTATGTTTATGCGAGTGGGAGCACTACAAGATACAGATGTATGCTGGGCTCGATGGGGATTACAGAAGTTTGAAGGACGAATTTAAGGAAATAGCGAGCGAGTTGGGTAATTTTTTTACGGACGCATTCACGAAGAATGCGACAGTCAGGCAAGCATCAGAATCCACAGACAAGTCCAGTCCCTCAAGACGGAGACGACTCTTAAGGCAGTACAGTCGAGAGGTAAGCGGCACGTTTCCCACTTGTCCGTATTGTCTGTCCGGCGCATCGCCACCTCCCGAATATATTGCCACAGCTATAGATTTCCTTCCCCCTCCAGCTTATGACGAGGAACCTGAACCGATTGAATTGTAGTCGTACATTGTATATATAACTATAATTTGGCACTTGGCAAACCAACGTAAGGCCATGTTGCGTCCGAAAAAGGATCGTAATCTGGTGAATGCAAATTAGCGTGTTGTGTGGTATTTCCTAGGTCACAATGCCCTAGAACAAAACTGTCAGTATAATGTACAGGGAGTAAGAAGCATATTACGGCAAATAAACTTGATTATCAAACAAATTGATTTGGCGGTGGTGTGTACTGGTATATACATGTATTGTATTGTGAACATCTGATATCGCGCTAATTTGACCTTTATTTTTGTGTGTAGAAAGTAATCTACTCTGTATATTTATATGGGGTTTAGAAAAAAAGTACGTCATGTAAAAAAATGATTGACTTGTGTTGAGGTGTGAGTTGACTAATGACTTGTGAAATTTTGACATTTGGTACTCATGTCATATTCATACTTGTTGTACATAGTCAAGAGTGTTAGTCTGTATGTCACATTTGGAGCTAAAGTCCAAAACCTTCCACTCATTGGAGGTGTACTTCGACATTCAATTCTCACAAATAATAGTATACTTACTTTTTACCGCAATCCGCACAAATTTATCCTTCATAATCACGTACAAGCATGTATACGTTTCGATATAATACTTTGCTAATCAATAACAGGTCCACTGATACACAGACGATAGAACAGTTTTTATATTTCACTGATAAGTTCACGATTAGACAATTCACTAATATGAATGTCTAAATCAACAATTATATACACATATATATATTATATCTATACATATTCACATATACTCATAAATATATATTTACATATATGTGAGTGTATATATGCATATATATATATTTATACATATATATATATAGATATATGTATGTATATATATATATATATATACATGCTCCTACACTGTTAATACTCATACTTTCACATTTGCATATATACCTCATTACATATATATATATATATATATATACATACATACATAATATATATATATATGTGTGTGTGATGTGTGTGTGTGAAGTATGTGTGTATGTATGTACATATGTACGGAAGTATGTATGTATGTATGTATGTATACAAATATATATGTATATGTAGTCAATACGAATGCTCTAATTTACAGAGCCGTCACAATCGCCTGCCATTTATTTCAGATTGAACCTTTTTAAACATGAACAGGCATCCCGTACTCACGTACGCAGGTATGGCTACCTATGTTTGATTAAGAAGCCTATGCTAACTATGACATTCTTCTATACCGATGTATCCCATCGACACGCATGCCAAGACAAATTTGTTGGTATAGTTCTATATCCGTGAACGACGGGTTAGTTACTTGTCCGAGAGCAACTGCATTGTCATGACAAAGGTCCACAGGTTTGGCTTTATATTCCTGGGTGTTGTTATACGTATACTACTAGGTTTATATATATGTATACTACTAGCTGAATATATACGTATACTACTAGGTGTGTGTATACGTATACTACGAGGTGTATATATACGGATACTACTAGCTGTATATATACGTATACTACTAGGTGTGTGTATACGTATACTACGAGGCGTATATATACGGATACTACTAGCTGTATATATACGTATACTATTAACTGTATATATACGTATACTACGAGGTGTATATATACGGATACTACTAGCTGTATATATACGTATACTACTAGCCCTATATATGCGTTAACTGCTGTACGTAGGTATACATATAACATTGTCATGCTACAATGGATATAGTATTCTATTCGATAGCGGATGGTTACTAGTACGCGACATGCCCCCCCTGATGGCGTGTGTAAGGGTGCGCACCCGTCAGCACCGTGCGATGGAATCGATCACTCCCCTCTGATGCAGCTGCACCTCTTGATAACCGTACGATTTGATCTGTGAATGGGGTGCGATCGGAATATAGTTATCAGAGACACACCCAGTGCATATCTGACACACACAGTGCCTGTCTAACGTACATAGTTAGTCATCGTAGTGTTTGTCGATTTGATCTGTGAATGGGGTGCGATCGGAATAAAGTTACCAGAGACACACACAGTGCATATCCGACACACACAGTGCATATCTGAAACACACAGTGCCTGTCTAACGTACATAGAAAGTCATCGTAGTGTTTGTTGATTTGGTCTGTAAATGGGGTGCGATCGGAATAAAGTTATCAGAGACACACACAGTGCATATCTGACACACACAGTGCCTGTCTAACGTACATAGAAAGTCATCGTAGTGTTTGTTGATTTGGTCTGTGAATGGTGTGCGATCGGAATAAAGTTATCAGAGACACACACAGAGCATATCTGACACGCACAGTGCCTGTCTAACGTACATAGTTAAA